TAAGCTTCCAAGTCAATCTCCCCCACCCATTTTCCTTAGAAGGGAGGCAATTTTCTGATCCAGCCTTGGACAAAGAAAAGGGTGGAACAACCCCACCAGAAAGTGCCTTGTGAAAAATTCCAAAGTCCAAATCATACTCCTCAACTCTCCGGGGATGAATCCCTACATCAACCTCCATTGTTTCAACGTTCTTCACCTCTTCATGCCTGTGAGAAAGAGCAACCCAAAACTCCTCAGGCTCTTCATCCTCAACCACGGTAACGATCTCCCCAGTCGCCCTCTCGTATCGAACAACCTGAGCAGCTGCATGACGCGCCTTGCAACACATCACCGTGCCACACTCCTTCCCAACCCACACATACAAAGTACAAGAAACATGCACAATAAACGCCCCACGCGAATCAAGCGCGTGGGCGCAAGGGTTGTTGACCATCTTAGGAACAAGGTGAAGAGGGTCGTAGGGAGAATGAGGAGCCATCCTATACATTCTGAGCACAGAACTAGGACTCGGGGGCGTAGCGTGCACGCGCTTCTGACACTGCAATAGCTGACAAGCGAAACCCATGTTCGGATTGATGATGCCACGCGCGTTCTTAACGATGTGAAACGCGTCCTCGAAGCTCTGATTCTCCCTCCACATGAGATACGCGATGACCAACGAGGTGGAGCGTGACACGCCCTGGCAGCAGTGTACGAGCACGCGCCCACCCTGTTGTCGGACATCCTCGAAGTAATCGAAAACGTCGTAGAGAATGCTTGTGATGTCCTCCGAGGGACTGTCCCGCAGCCATAGCGTTTTGTAGACGAAGTCGCTTTTGAAATACTCGGGGCAAACGAACCCCACGCAATTCAGCACGTGCGTTATCCCGTGCCGCCGCAAAACCTCCTCGTTCTTTGCCACCGTGTCACTTCCTAAGTACACGTGCTCCGCGATTTTCGAACATTCCTTGTCGTAGAAAGCCAACTTGTCTCTCCTAAGCTGAAAAACTTGACCCGAACCCGAACCCAAATTTGATGATCCTTTGGTGGACCCTCTTGGGGTCGGTGGCGGAAGCCAAACCTCGAGATCGTCGCTGCCGGCGCTCGGCCACTCCTTCACGCTGTCTTTCCTGATGCAAAGAGGCTGAAGGGATCGCGGCGGTTTCCGGACCACCGGAGTCTGGTCCGTCCAAGAAACTGATCTGGAATGTGCTCTCCAGTGAACACCGGTGTCGGCGTTGTTACTCTCTTCTCCCAACATGGGTAATCGACAAGACTCGATTTTTTTTAACAGGGTTTCAAATCACCAACCCAAGTAATAATGGGTCGAAAGCAAAAAGCAAAAAGCTTTAAGCTTTGAAAGAGTAAATGGTAAATGGGAAATGTTGTGTTTGGTATAAGTTGGAATTTTTCTCACCTGAACTGATTGATTGTGTCTCACTCTCTGACTTGATTCCTTTTTCTTATGGATCTTGCAGAGGAGAAAAGATGATGCAGAAAGAAGTAAAGAAGAATTTAGATTTTGCAGAAATGGAAAAAAAGGTGGGACTTGATGGTCATGGTCTTTCAGTTTGACCAAAAAGTGCCACCTCAATTTGGGACACTTTTTCTCAAATATTATAATAATAATAATAATTTACCTCTTTACAATCTGCATTTATTGTCAAACATTTTTTATTGACTTCTCTTCTCACCTATTAACTATGTTACCAATTTTAATATAACTATAGAGATTCAATTTTAATGAGAACTAAAAGCCTGTGAAGTAAGTCTTACGGAATTTAATTTTGTTCAATTGTTTATTTATGTATATAGCTGTCATTATTGTGTTTCTGAAACAGTTTAAATATTTTAGGTTTTTTTAAATCTCGTAGTCAAACTATATTAATTGTCTTTATCAGCAGATGTTACAAACGAAAAAAAAAGTTTGACCGACCGAATACTGGTTGTTTGTTCTAGAATATGAATTTGAATGGTTTTGTTTATAATATGTAGAATTCTTTTTGTGCTATCAACATTAATAGTATATCCTCACATTAAAAGATATCATATTCGTTTTGTCAAACTATAGAGATGCATACTTCGACTGAAGTACGCGCATAAATTGTGACGTTAAATCAGATACTACTTTAGTAGAATGTTATATTAATAAGAAAAGAAAATTATAATTAAATTTGGTCTTCGAGTTTCTTATGCGAACTCCTTGAAAGTAATCAACTTTAACTTTACCATGATTTAATATATTTTTTGTTACATAACAAAGAAAAACATGATAGTAAAGGAACTGTTTTTTTTATATATATATATTTCATAAAATATTTCATTTCCAATATATTTAACTGGTCCGTTTAATTTCCTAATAAGTTAATAACGTTCGATGAAAAATAATCATGAAGAAAATAAATAAAGTAAAACTTCAATCGTTTCATACAAAAATGTGGATAAGTAATACAATTTTGTTAGTTTAAACCTTTTGCACTGTAACGTCACCATAATTTGATAAATCAAAGGAATGTATCCAACTTAATAGAAGAATGGGCGAAACAAAAATTACATTGTAGAATTTATGAAATAATGATAATTAAATAGTAAAATGTGCTGCAAGAACGACAAAAATATAAAGAAATGCATTCAATATTTAAATTTCTAAGAATAAATTTAATTGAGGAGTGGAAGCAATAGTAACTGAGGAGATTTAAATATATGTGATTATAATTTTAATATTTTTTAAATTAAGTTTACTTGAAATATTTTTAATATAATTAATTTCATTTAGATAGGAGAAAAAGTATATTTTATATCAGAAAAATTATATATAGAAAACAAGTTATATGAAAATAATCATAGATTACGAATTTACAAATTTGTTCAAATTATTTATTCTAAAAAATATTTATAATTTTTAGTTTTTGTCTCGAATATATAGCTGATTTTTTTCATAAAAAAATTAAATCTAAATTAAATTATTATTTTGAAATATTATAGGTATTTTTAAAAAATATAGTTGCAATAACTTATTTAAAAAAAAATATTTGCAATAGGTAATTAATCATGGTTATATATTTAGAATTTAGGATTTAAGTAAAACATATTTACAAATGTTTCTCAATGAGCCATTTTTTAACCACTATAGTTAGATAAAATAATTTATCTATCCATTATTTATAGATAGTGCTGGATTATAAATAAATTTATTCAATTAATTTATTCAAAAATATAAATATAGATCATATTAAATCCATGTAGTTTTTAATGGTTAATAAGTTTTCTATTACTTCTCAACAATAGATCATATTATCTTTTTTAAAAGTATATTTTTAGAATTGTTTTACAATAAATATTTTTTATAACTTTTTAAAAATATGAATTTTCTGTCAGCATAAACTAGAAGCTACCGGATAAAGTCAATCTAAAAAATATTTTATAACACATTATAAATTTTTAGTTTAAAAAAGTTTTTGAATACATTACATGTGTTTATTTTATTAAAAACATTAAAAATAACATCTCAATTTTGGTTGGATTATTTTTAATTTAAGATTTTAAAAATTGATTTAATCGAAAGTTTGTTAACAGTTTTAGTTTGACTGGTTATCAATAATAATATGAGATTATTTGAACGTTTTGCCATAGACAGAAAGAATTGAAGATCTTTGATAACGTCTTGTGTTTTTGAAGGAAAATGTATGTGTCTAGCTACTTGAGAGTAAACCCTAAGCCTCGTCGACCTTTTTCTAATATTCTCTTTAACAAAAACTATGCTAATGTGCTTCTGATCATTAATAATTAAATAAATTCTAATTGTGAGTTTATCAATTATTATCTTTTATATAATCTCTTTTATTATTATTATTATATATATATATATATATATATATATATAAGTGTATTTAATTATGTAAATATCTTTAAACTTTTTAATTAGGTAATCAATATCTCTAGATCAATTAAAAATATTATTACCTTATAATGTCACTCTTGTATGATTAATAATTAGAATGTTGTAAAATACTTGATTTTTTAAATAATACAATACAAATATATTTTAAGCTATTTTTTACTTTTATTTTAGAAAATGTTGACCGGGAAATTTTACCATCCTTTACAAAATTATGTAACAAAAATAATGAAATATTTGAAACGTAATTAAGGCTTTAAGATATAAACAATATAAGTATATTTAAAAAAAAAAAACAGATATAAGTATGTAAAATAGAAAACTATTAGAAAGTTACTGTCAAAATATAAAAAAAAACAATATCGATGACATATAAAAATAAAAATTCATTTAATTAAAAATTTTTGGGGGTGAAAAAAAAGATAACATATAAAAAAGCAAAATAAATTTTTCGTGGAGAACTACCTTTTGAAGGAAGATAGAAAACAACAATAGACTAAAATCATTTATGCACCATAATATATGTTTATAGATGATTTCAAACATTTTTTTCAAAAAATAATGGCAAATGACACCTGTTTATATTTATTTGATAAATATTATAAAAGTAAACTAATCATAAAAAAGATAAATTTTTATATTTAAAAAAATATCAAATAAATATAAAATAGTGTGTTAAAGTACCATTTATTTGTTTCTTCAGCGCAAATATAAAATTATGGTCACAATTAAAAGAAATTGTTAATTTCTTTTTTAAATCAATTCCTTATGTGCAAGTATATGTGATTCAATGTAGAGTTTCTTACCCTTTACTACTTTTTTTCTTCCCACACCTCGAAAATTCTCTTTTTACTATTTTTTTCATTAAAAATTAATCAGCTTTCAAAAATTGATTAAAAATTTATATATTTCAAAAATCATTAAAATTTTAATTGATTTTCAAAAGTTTGACGAAGTTTTAATTGATTTTTGAAAATCAGTTAAAAAAATTTCTTAATCAATTTTTAAAATCAGTTAAAAAATTTTGAAAAATTTTCTAACCAACTTTCGATTAATATTTTTTTAAAATCTTTTAGTTTAGTTTTTATTTATTATTAATAATAAAAATAATGATTAAAAAATTAAAACATATTAAAAAATAAAATTAAAAATTAAAAACACAATTAAAAAATTATATATTTTAAATTAATAAAAAAAATAGATAAAAATTTTTGAAATAAAATATGTTAACCGTATTTGAAAATACGGTTATTATACTCAATTTATTTCCAAGATTAACATAATTTTTAAGGTTTATTTTTGTTTTTAATTTCTTAATATGTTTTACTTATTTTTGTTTAATAAATATTATTTTATAAATTAATAAGGTATCTTTTTACAGAGAAAAAATCATTTTATTGTATTTTTTTTTATAATAATAATAATAATAATTTTTTATTATTAAATTAAAAAAATAAATCTTTTAATTTTGTTTTTTAGTTTAAAATATTAAATTTTAATTTTAATTTTTTAATATATTTTATTATTATTAATAAATAAATAACAGAAAAGAAAACTAAAAAAATTTAAAAAGTAAAGAAAACTTTAACCAACATTTTGAAAGAAGCTTTTCTAAGAATTTTTGTAATCAATTTTCGTAAATCGATCAAAAATAATTTTAACCGATTTTTAAAAAGGGATTAAAAAAATTTAATCCATTTTGGAAAACTTAAATTCTTTAATCAATTTTTCAAAATTGGTAATTACTAATGAAAAAGATAATATTGAAATTTTAGAAGTATAGGTCCAAAAGTTTGGAGGTGTAAAACCAATGTTGTTGTGCAGTACATTAATCCTAGTACCTAGAAGCGCCAAAACCTGTAAGTCCCAGCTCAATCAGGCTTTGAATGGTTCACAGTAACAGCGTCATACAAAAGAAGGAAACAAAAATAAACCATTTTCTTCCCTCCACTACCTTTTTTGTTGCAGATGGAGTGAGAAGAGAAGAAGCAAAGGGAAAAAAACAACAACCACTGTCACCAAGTGTAAGAAACACACGCACAAACACTTGGCGTGCCTCTTCATGACTGTAGTTGTTGCGTTCATAGCTATAGAGAGAGAAGGTGAATGAAACGGGGTTTGGTTATGCCTTTGGAAAACCTTAATCTGATATGTATCAGAGCAGCATTGGCGCACACCGCCTCGCCTACCGCTCTCACATATCCAAGTTTGTAAAAGCCGGTCTCATCAACCACGCGATCCACCTGTTCGACCAAATGACCCAATCCAATTGCCGCGTCTTCAGCGTCGACTACAACCGCTTCATCGGCGTCCTCATTCGTCACTCCCGCCTCCACCACGCCCACCACTACTACCGCCACCACGTCATCCCTCGCGGCTTCTCCCTCCTCCCCTTCACCTACTCCCGCTTCATCTCAGCCCTCTGCTCCTCCCCCAACAACCTCCCCGTCATCCAGGACCTCCTCCTCGACTTGCATGCTCTCGGCTTCGTCCCCGACATTTGGGCCTTCAACACTTACCTCAGCTTCTTGTGCCGCCACAATCGCTTAGAAACCGCCCTCGAACTCTTCCACTCCGTGCCCTCCAAGGGGAGAGAGCCCGACGTTGTTTCTTATACTATTATCGTTGACGCGTTGTGCAAAGCTCAACGCTTCGACGAGGCTGCTAGGGTTTGGCGTGGTTTGACTGGCAAAGGTTTGAGCCCTGATTTTAAAGCCTGTGTTGCTATTGTTGTTGGTTTGTGCGGTGGGGGTCGCGTTGATTTGGCCTATGAGCTTGTTGTCGATGTGATCAAGGGTGGGGTGAAGGTTAATATCTTGGTTTACAATGCTTTGATTGATGGGTTTTGTAGAATGGGAAGGGTTGATAAGGCGATGAAGATTAAAGCGTTTATGAGCCGCAATGGGTGTGTGCCGGATTTGGTTACTTATAATATACTGTTGAATTACTGTTGTGACGAGGGGATGGTGGATGATGCCCTGCGGATGGTGGAGACAATGGAGCGGAGCGGGGCGGAGCCGGATTTGTATAGCTATAATGAGCTGTTGAAATGTTTTTGCAAGGCTAATATGGTGGACAAGGCTTATATGATGCTGGTTGAGAGGATGCAGACCAAAGGACTGTGTGATGTTGTTTCGTATAATACTCTTATCACAGCATTCTGTAAGTTGCGCCGTACTAGGAGAGGTTATGAGTTGTTTGAGGAGATGTGTGGGAAGGGGATTAGGCCAGATATGGTGACGTTTAATATACTTATTGATGCCTTTCTAAGAGAAGGAAGTATCCAAGTGGTTAAGAAACTGCTTGATGAAATGACAAGGGTGAGCATTCTTCCTGATCGTATATTCTATACTGCAGTAGTTGATCATATGTGCAAGACTGGAAAGGTTGATACGGCTCATAGTGTTTTCCGTGACATGGTGGAGAATGGGGTAAATCCGGATGTAATCTCTTACAATGCACTTGTAAATGGATTCTGTAAGGCTTCTAGAGTTATGGAAGCCATGCGTCTATATGATGAAATGCAGAGGAATGGTTTGTACCCTGATGAGGTAACTTTCAAGTTGATAGTTGGAGGGCTTATAAATGGGAAAAAACTTTCACTGGCCTGTAGGGTTTGGGATCAGATGATGGAGAAAGGCTTAACACTTGACAGGCATCTTTCTGAGACTCTAGTAAATGCCATTCAATCAAGTGAAGGTGCATGAACATGGCCCTAGTTTACGTTGTTATCCTCTCAAATTCATCACATTTTTCTTTCAAAAGGGAAACATGACATAAAACATTTTCTCTGGATACAATGCACCAAAGCTTAGCAAAGTCGACTTCAAACATTTTCTGCAGGTAATTACATCTGGAAATTGGTTTGTCCTACTTTTATGATGCCCGTGGTGCAACCCCATACCTTTTTGTATGTCTATCCTCCCATATACTATGTGGTGTAACACTACTAACTCACAGACCAGCTTCTTGTAAAGGATCCAGACTGAGGGCAGTGCTGCAATGGTTTCTTGCTACCAATGGAAGTAGTGGCTTCTTAAACCTTTTTCTGGAGCAGTATCCAAGTTTTGTTTGATATTGTCAACAAACTGTTGAGTTGGCGGATTGCATTTGTCAATTCAAAAGGGAGCATTCAGTTATTTTTGGGCCATTTTTATACATAAAGGACTGTGGCTTTGTTTCTCACTCAGCACAACTGATATTAGTAATTGATGACTTGGTTGGAATCAGTCTAGCTGCCTATTCAAATCCCAATTTTTTCTTCTGTGCTCATGTTGAAGAGGCAGGTTTGAGTTATTCGTATGTTATCTGATATTTTCGTAAATCCTTCACCAGTGACTGCTCAATTCAGACTGATTGGCAGAAACATCAATGATGAATGCCTTATGTCATTTTATGATTCTAACTATTAGGGTCCTGTTTCATCAAGATGAAGTTTGTGGTTGCAGAGGATAATTTGAACAATGAAGATTTGCATTTATTGGTGATTTCATCTTGTTGTGACGTGGGCCTAGGTCCTTGTTGCCTATCCTAGTGAATTGTTGAACAATGAACTCAGGTTTCATACCATTCTGGAACTTTTGTTGACAGACCCTCAGCTTCTTATTATTTGAGTATATGTCGGGACATATGTAACTTAGTGGAGAATTGTGGGTGTGGAAAAAAGATTCACTAGGTAGCTTGTTAGGCTTCAAGATTCAAATTTGTTAGACTTTGGGAAACTGAGATTGGCACAAATTATATATGGCTTCTAATTTTGGATTAGCATACAATGATACGTAATTCTAGGATCACACATTTATATAAAATTTTACAAGTTTGACCTTTATTAGCATTATTTTCTGGTAAATTATTATGATGCTTGTTGTAACATCCCAAAATTATACAGTCATCAACCATATACTCAGAATAATTACACGTATCAATAACTCAAACAGTTTTAAAAGTAAAGGAAACAGATTTAAATAAACGGCCGAACGGCCTTCCATATATTAATTAACGAGCGTTCACAAAAGAACAAGGACGAACGGTTTTACAAAAACATTACCGAACGTCCAACTATTTACAATCAACAAAAAGAGCGCTCGCTCACAGCCGCTCGCTACTCTAATTACACTAACTAAATAACCGAACGCCTCACTGTTCGGCCTTCACCTCAACTTCTACTAAATTTTCTTCAGCAATGAGTTCCTCTTCAAGAGTTTGCTCCAGAGACGCATCTCCCTCTGCTCACATCCACACGGATGATCATTGCATTTGACAAGACGGATATACATAGACAAGACAACACAAAGGAAATGCAAGGGTAAGCTTATTGAATTTAATTCAAGTCAAACATACAGTTTATACATATCAACCTATAAATTCATTCACGACACAATCATTCAAATCATACATTAATTCAACCAAAATCCTGATACTAGACCGACCGTCCGGACATGTATGAATTCTGTGTAGCTACGACGTCCGTGCACCCAGGTGGAAGAGCTGGAATACTCGTCAGCTGCCACCTGAGGTTAGTCCGTTCTGTCCAAGTTACAGTTATGGACTAAGACCTCCTGCCATTCCCACGCATGACATGCTCCTCTCTACTTGAGAACGAGCACTCACGGAATATCAGGATGAACCGCCAGCTAAGCTTACCACATTCATACTTTACAAATCTCAATTTCCAACCAAGAGTCGTTCCTCCCTGGAACGCTCGTTCAAATTCCACAATCACAATTTCATTTCTCATAGTGTTCGCACATCTTAATTCATCCTCTTAAATACATTTTCATTCTTTGTTCCACTTTCGTAAAAAGACGAACGTTCACTCCCCTTCATAACGAGGACGAACGTCAAGAGCTAAACCAAGAAAGACTCCTTTGAATCAGTTAAATGAACTGATTCTAGTACGATCCAAATAATACTTAGAAAAAATCTAAGTTCAGTAACACTTGAACGAATCCAATGGATAGGTAAAGTCCCAAGTTGTTTGGATAAATAAACTGGACAAGATTTAATTCAGGAGACAAAACGCCAGTCAATGACCGAGCGCGAAAATAAGCTTTTAGTGAATTTTGGACGAACGTCACTGAGGACTTGGACGAGCGTCAATAGAACTATTGGACAACGCTGTTTAGATTTATGGACGAACGCTATTTCAATTCCGGACGAACGCTATTACCGTTCGCTGATAATTTAAAGAAGGAACGAACGTTCGGTATATGACCGAGCGTTCTTTATCACATACGCTTTGGACGAACGTTCGGTATCAGACCGAGCGTTAATTATCATGTACATTTTTAGGACGAGCGTTCGGTCTAAGACCGAGCGCCACTTAGGAACGTACGCTTTTAGGTCAAGACTTTTCACTGATTCAAAATTTAAGAAGTTTGGGCTTTATATAAGGTAAGATACTTGAAATTTATGTATTACAATTTGACTAAGTGTTCAAGAGGGATGTTATCAAGCTTCTCAATCTCACGCAACACTCATGAAGGGTACGTCTGGCCAAATGCTCACACGTAATGCTATATAAGAGGGCGTTCGTCCTCAAAGGGAGTCCTTTCCAAATGAAAGGGTCCGACTACGTCAAGAATTTACTGCTAATACCGAACGGTCAATGACCGTATCGATAACGAACGTTCATTTTCATAGGCTTTTCATATTTACATTCCACATACAGTAACCATATTTTCCAGTATACTTACATTCATTTAATCATATCATATCATATCTTATACTTCTCAAGCTTTGAATTAAACATCATATCCAATCATTCAATACCAAGATCATACAACATTCAACTTTACAGATCATTCATATATACAAGCATAAAATTCTCAGTACATACATGCATCACTTTTCATATATCATCTCAGAATCATAATCATATTTTCAAACTTCACACACGCACATGCAGTACAGAGATCACATGAATTAAATCTAATAAGCTTCCCTTACCCGGATTAAGCAACGTGCGATCGTTCTTCAGAGAAAGAAAACAAGACTCCAGTACCCTCTTTTCTACCCTTTACGTTTCAACCCAAGATTTCCTTAAACTAAAATTACAAAAACCCAAATAACGGTTCAGAGAAGACTCGTGCAGATTCAAAAGGAAGCTTGCATGTTGAAAATGAAGGGTGGTTGAGGACGTGAAACTTACCCGTTTCAGAATCCAAACCCAATCGGTTTGATAGAAAGCTCACGGTGCAGGGACGCTTCTCACGGTGCTGAAACGTGAACGGAGCAAAGAAGGGTGAGTTGCAGAAGAGAGAAGATGCAGGGGTTCTAGAGAGAAGGTAGAGAGTTTGAGATCAGAGAATTGGAGGAAGAAGATGAAGTGTGCAGAGGAATGGGAAGAGTTTTCCAGAGAAATTAATTTCTCCTCCCACGTAGGACGAACGTCCATCCGCGTGCTGCCACTTGGATTCCACTAACTCTTGGAAACGTTCCAAAGTGACACTTGTCAGCATGCATGCAGTGTGAGTGTGAGTGCGTTTTAATGGAAGGGTGTGCGTGTCACAGTGCATTAATGGAAGCACAGTGGTGACTCATCAGCGTAATTAATGGGGCGTGACACTTGTGCCTGTGTCTGCAGCATGGAACTTCAGCCTTCTCTAAAGAAATGTTACCGTGATCATTACAATTATTCAAAGTATGTTTCTACTTTTTTTAATTCAGCACATTCATTTATTAGAGAGCTATTATATTCAGTATGATTTTGTCGACCAATGGAACAAAACAAACAAAATATCGTAAGGAAAAAATGGATGTATGAATCATTTAAAAGGTTGCATTGTGTTTCAGAACGCTGTTGAGAATCAATGGAGACTGACTGGAAACTGCAATATCTAAAGTTATTTGGTAAATTTTCACATTTGTCAGTGGACTGCTTTATAGTTCATTTATGCGAGAGACTCTTAAATTAAAATAACGCTTTCTGCAGTTGGCAGTTGTTACATTTAGGTAGATAATATCATGGTGCTGTGTATTCTCTGTAGTTGTATTGAACCTAAGGAATTAGAACATGTTTTGACTGCAACTTTGATTATTTGTTTGATTTGGGAAGGTGGGGGAAGGGTTGATATCTGGTTTTTGTCTATGAAACAAAATAAGTATATGATATCAATGTTCCCTAGTTCATTGCATGCTGGTATTTCCTTGTTGATAGATTCTACCCTAGACGACGTTGAACCTTGGAACAGATTAGCTGAATGACAACTGCAACCAGCACAAAAAGCAGTTTGCAGATTGGTTTGATACACAATTGAAGAAACACAAGTAAAAGGGGCTAAGAGTAAGTTCAGGTGAAGGACATAAGTTTGATGATTTCCCGATGGTAGTGAATCATCTAGGATCACCATCCAACCAACTTCTGGAGTAGGAAAGAAAAATCGGAAATGATTAAGAAAATGCCATGTTGGTTCAAATGCCAGTAAATTTATTGTATTAAGAAAACTAGTTTCAAAACTGCTACATTTTAGAGTTCGTTTGGAAAAGTGCAGTGTTGAGATTGGGTTGACAACTCCATTCATTCACTCACTTTCTTGACTGTGTATTAATCAAAGATTTTCATTTCAATGACAAATATTTCTCCAATGTGGTATCCCAAGCCCTTCATTCAAACATATTATTACACAAATTGTAGAAATTCCTAACCAGCTCCGTTTCTAATATAATCCCAGGCCATAAAATGAAAGTGGGCTTAAAATTGTGTGAATATATGATAGAAGGAAAAGAAATACATTATTTCCTGCAGTATTGAACATCATCAGACCGGGAATAATCAATTGCGAGGTCTGTAGTCAAAGTTTTGTGACAAATTTACAGATGAAACAGTGTTTGATTTCCTGCATTTCTTTTGTCGCAGGCTTCTCGCTGAATTCCTATTTAATCCATGTTGAAGTTTTATACTTTCTAGATTACTGTGTATTTGGGTCCTATACTTGCTTTGCCTTCCATTGCTTTAATGTTGGGCATCTAAAGAATATCAAAATCATGTCTCCGTTCTGTTGGAATTTCTTTTGTTTAGATCATCTAAAACATGGGTACTTGATTTTCCAAGTTGGATCACATAAGTTTTTTCTTCAATGAAATTTGTTGGCAGCTTGGATGTACATGACTCTAATTTGACTAGGTGTGACTCGGGGTATGGGTAGGTTCATTTAATGTCGAGCTAGATAATTTTATTATAAAAATTGACATTCTTTCATTTAAAAGGACATATTTCCCCAATTTGTCCCATTTTTATTTATTATCGACGCAAGCAAACCTGTTCATCTTGTGAAACACTGCATATAAATTTATACAATCAAACCTATTTATTTAAGCATAAACCTAATTAAAAATTAATACAATTAAAAAAATATCTTTTACAAATATTTGTTTTAAAGTTGCAACACTTGTTCAATTTTTTTGTGTGTGAAGAGAGTTTCAATTGAAACAATTTAAATCCAAATAAACATTAAAGGTATTTTAGCTGCATTCCTCATTTTTTTTAATTTCAATTAAAATAAAACTCAATTAATATATATAAAGTAAAATGTTCGATTTTAGGAATCTTGTGTAACCGAGTTGTTATATGGTGTAGTCCACTTATTCTGAGCATATAACTTTTGATGAGGCATGTGAAGACTGTTGTTATATTTGAACATAAAAGCTTATTCATTTATTGCTGAAAAATGATTTCCGAATGTTGACTCACAGCGAGTTCGTATCTTGAATAAGCTGTTCTTTACTTTATAATAGCAGTGTGTGCTTTTGGGGTCCACCTATTTTGGACCAAACTAGGGGAAAGGTATCATCCGCAGGCTGTCTCTATGTGCATGTTAATTGAGGTACAAGAAACTCAGTGCTTGGGAGTTATAACTCAGAACGTGTGTTTTCAATAAGATTTTATAATAAATTCTGAAATCTTCACTGTTCAAGAATCCATGCCACCTTTAACTTCACACAAGGTCTTCTTCTCCAGTGCTGCTTCAGCTTCTCTGCTATGTTCTTTTTAGGTCCCTCAGCATTATAAATACAAACAACCTCATAATCACTCTCTCTACATTATTAAACGAAGAATACAAAACATTTTGCCCCACATAAGTGGCTTATGTTCGATTCTTTCCCTTTATATGAATCATCCTTGAAGTTAACTTCAAGTCATTCCCATTCCCTTTATATACTTTAATTTTTGATTTACCTTGATTCCTCCTTAAGATCATTCTCTCCGTATACCACCCTTCGTTTCTCTTCATTTTCCTCACACTTCCCATGTCTCGTCCAGAAAAAAACCCTCATTTTTCTCGACCACCACAGCCTGAATTCGTCATAGATGATGATGATAAAGATAAACCACATATTTCACATGGCCCACGCCAAAAACGTCGTGCCCAACCACCCCCTCAGGTAATAGCTGCTGCACCTATACCTCCGAACGAAGAACGTGTTCCATTACGACCACCACCTCAACACGAAGACCATCTTCAAACACAACATCACCCACCTATTTCACAAGGACCACGCTCAAAAAGAAGTCCTAGTAAGTATCCAACAAATCAAGGTTTGCGACCAGTAAAGTCCTCAAAGGTAAATTTCCAAGAGCCACCTCCCTCTGCCGAAGCCCCTCCACCGCTGCCACCCTCCGACAATCCTCCGCTGCCACGCCGTAAGCCCCTCAGTGATCTCCGCCACACTGGTATAAAGTTGCCGCAGGAGCAAAAGTCTCAACCTTTGACATGGTTAGGTGCGTGCTTGTGTGTGATATTTTGGCTCATCATAATCATAGGAGGGTTGATAGTGCTTATAGTGTACTTTGTTTTTCGGCCACAAAGTCCTCATTTTGATGTGTCTAGTGTGACCTTGAATGCTGCATACCTTGACCTTGGATATCTGCTGAATGCTGATCTAACCATGCTGGCTAACTTCACAAACCCAAACAAGAAGGTGCATGTAGACTTCAGCTCTGTCATCATTTATCTCTACTATGGAAGCACCCTCATTGCCACACAGTATGTTGAACCTTTCTCTGCTGCAAGGCTTCAATCAAGGTTTGCAACGATCCACATGGTGTCTAGTCAGGTTCAGCTGCCATTGAGAGAAAGCCAGCGCCTTGTCAAACAGATGGAGGGCAATGGCGTGATTCTCGAAGTGAGGGGAATATTTCGTGCAAGATCCAAACTGGGAACCATTTTGAGGTATTCGTATAATCTCTATGGCCGTTGCAGCGTCATGCTAACACGTCCTCCTGATGGCATTATGCTCAAAAAGAAATGCAGAACGAAGCGCTGAAACAATCGTTTAGCACCAAATTTGACGATATACTTACATGTCAATGTTCTTCAGAATTCGGGGGTTTTGGTCTTCTTAATTTGCCCATTCCTCCTCCAAAAATAACATGTTCAAAGCTTAGCCTTTTTCCCCTCCCCGCTACATGTAATTTTGTTTCTTCTGGAAAACTATTAGAGATTGTTATAAACTAATAACAGCATTCTTAACATTAGTTCATACTATGAAAAGTAGTATTATATAGATCCAACAATGAAAACGAAGCAACATATATAGCTTCCTACTAAACCAGCCAAAGCAAAAATTGTTTACAGTTTGCTCTTTAAATTTTTTTCGAGCTGATTGAAGTGCGCAGATGAGGTTTTGTTTGGCTTTAAAGGGATAATAACATAATATAATATGATAGTCATCTTATTTATTCTATTATATCCCAACTATCAAACCTAAGTCTTATAAGTTGAATAATTATTAAAAGATTAAAACTTTACCATTATCTAGAATAAGTGAATTCAGGCCGTTATAATTAATTACTTTCATTTATTTATGTAGGATAGAAAACAAATTCATCCCTATAGTATTTAGTTCTTCGATAAAAATAAATAAATAAAGGACGAAAAATGAGACAAAATGCCAAGGTAAATTGTATACAATTATTTGAAATATAAATTCAAATAAAAAAATAATATTAAAGTTTGATATAATAAAATATCAACACATATATATATTTAAAATTAAAAAAATAAAAATAAAGAATATTATAAAATATAAATTTAAATAAATTTAATTTTGTTAAAAATATTCAAACAATATTTTATTTTTAATAAAAATATCATTATAACATTTATATAAAAATTAAATATAGTTTTAATTTAAAAAGGATAAAATTATCTAATATTTTTTAGAAAAAATTAAGACTGAATTAAATAAAAATACAAATAAAAAATTAAATTAAAAAAACAAATACTTTACTTGACACGTGATAAAAAAAATAAAAAAAAGTAAAATATTAAATAAAATTTAAAAAAAAAACTCGAATCAAAACGTGATACATATTTAATATGTATAACACTAAATAACTTAATTGATATATATTTTCAAAAATACAAACTCAATTGTGATCAATAAAAATATGAGAATATATTTGAGATTTTCAAACAAATAAAACCATTCAAATATTTTAACCTTTTTACATTTAAATTAGATAAATACTAAAAAAAAATAATTCAACGGAATAAAAAATCCCTTGTCAAGTTTGATTGTATCCTTCAAACAAAAATGAGTAACTGACCCATCCCAAGTAAATATATACTCGTGGATTAACCTTAGTATTGCTCGTGTTAATTAAATGGCAAAGGTTATTGTTACCATATATCTTCTTGTATTAAATGCCTAAAGTTATTGTTACCATTTATTTTCTCCACAATTACAAGAAGGATAACCGTTCCAACTTTTTAATTAAGATCACATGACAAACATTCCATAATATTTTAAAAAAAATAAATTTTAAACTTAATTCAATGTTCTAAAATATAAAATTGATTTATAAAACAATTTACATTTAATTATATATTACAAATTTATCTTATTTTTATTCAATAAAATTGATTTATAAAATAAGAAATCAAAGTAAATCTCTTACATATTATTAGTCACGTCATGATTTGGTTTAACTTACGCCAATATTTATTCTCGTCTTACGTACAACATAGGTAGTTAAACAGATATAATGGAATCAAGATCCTCTCGAGTGCTAGTTTCTCTCTCTTTATAGCCAATGTGTGAACCATAAGACTAATCTAAAGGGTTTCTTCAAATATAATGTCATCAAAGTTTAAGGGAGGAAAAAGTCATTACCACCCAGTAGAGGAACACCTTTTGTGACGTTTGTTTAGAACAATTGTTGGAAAGCCTTCATTGGCAAAATAAAATGTTGGATATATTTGGTACAAAAAGTAAAAATAAAGGTAATTAAATCATGATTTAATTAGTAGAATAGCATTAAATGTACTGTGATGGTAAAGAAAATTATGATTTTGAGTATTGAATATCATTCAAATGACGTTCAAACTGTACTAGCTTATAAAGATTTGATAGAAAATAAAGAAAGGAAAAGGGTGAACGGTTAAACGTAAAAAAAAAAAAAAAAAGGTACTAAATTAAAATGCAGAATATTCTATAAATTTTGCCCAAAGTAAAAAAGCTTTGTTTTTGTTTATATTTGTTGAAAAGATCAGTCGAAGACGGCCCTCCCGTCAGAGGGTGGTGGTAGTGGTTGAGCAATTCACCTGTTCCAATTATACGTCCTACTAGGGAGAGGTTGATGGATCCATTGATCTCCCAAAGCAGAATTAACGCTGATTCGCTCAATGGAAGAATTGGGCAAACAGAAGCTAACAAGGGTTTTAACTAAATCGACAACTAGAACTTAGGATCATACCCAAACCAATAAAATAAATATATTAAGCTGATTGTATTTGTTAATTGCTTTCACGGAATGGTAACCAAAATGCAATAACAGAAGCAGCAGCAACATGATTGTACAGGGAAATAGCTCATCCTAAAGCGAAGAAGTGAAGATGCATTTATGTTAATTAAAATTAAACTGTCTTGGCGAACTTAACCTACTTTAACTCGAGTGAATGCACCCTCACTTTTATACTTCGGAGACTTACTTTCTCACTTTACAGGACCCTAATGCTAAACCAATAACCACCATGGCTGGCATTTTTTTTAAGAGATGGTATGTTGATGGATAACTACAATTTGTAACATGAATCAAAAGAAATCAACATAGATACACAAAAGAAGAAGATAAGAAAGAAAGAAAGAAAAGACAAGAAAAGGCCCAATTACAACAGAGGTTCAGAAAGCTCCATTTCATTAGAAGCCTCCTGTTGTGTAGCAGGTCGCTGCTGAAATCCAACGAAGTCCATGCCAAGCCACTGCCATGGCCAACACACATACCTAGGCCGATTTTGGCCCTTTGAATCTTCCCTGTTTTCAATGTCTTCGAGCTGATGAGTAAGCTCCTCAACTCTGTCTCTTAGTCTAGATGACCTCAAGTCAGCTAACTTAAGAGATTTTTCTGCTGCATCTCTGGCCGCCATGGCAGCAGCAGCTGTTTCTTCTTTGAATTTTAGTTTCTTCTCTGATTCTAACATGGATTGCTTTGACTCTTCAAGTTCCTGCTTAAGTGCTGCCAACTGCAGAATTGCATATAACGTGACCAAGAATATTCAATGAAAACATACAGCATTAGAAGTGAAAAAAAAACCACCAACAGGTGACTTTGTATGATCTCAACTAAAAATATCAATATGCTGTAATTACAGAAATGTATTTCTCAGCGACACCATAATTCTAGAGAGCAAAGGCAGCATCAGACAATGGATGCACAAAAATTATTCCAGCAAAGGAATTCATGGAAACAAGATATCAATCCACATAAACCATTCTTGCAATTTCATTAAAAAACTTAAGCTTGCTCGCGTTTGAGAGAATGCTCCAGTTTGAGAAATCAGGAAGAAAAAAAAGTGAATGATGCAACGTTCCATGAAATAACTGAAAATAATTCAGAAGCATCATGTTAATTAAACCCAACGGCCTCTTTAAGTTCTTGGAGTAAATAATCAATGACGTGGAGATAAAGAATTTACAGGTTTTCTAGATTTTTTTTGCAGTGCCCTTTCTTCTAAATACAACCCTTTATCCCACTTAAGTGATGTTGACTACATGAATATCATTTCAGCACGATTAAAACCCAAGAGTACAAAAATATTGTTTAGCGTGAGATCTTCCTTGATGACTTACTCCAACGCCCTTTATTTGTCTCCCTCTACTTTTCATGGGACTATAAAACCTACAATTTGACAATTCTGTGTTCAAACTACCTTAAGGATTGTCCATTTTCTTCAATTGGTGCTACACAAAAAATTTTCTTATATATAATCACTCCATATTTCATAGTTGCTTGTATAGCTACACATCCATTGTAACATTATCATGTGTTACCCAACCTTTCTCTCGTGTAGTATAGCTGGATATACAATAGTACAATAAATTTGGCTGTAGGTTTGATAGGTACTTTGCAATCAATAACATCCTCAGTAATTTCAAAATCGTTTTGTATTATTAAACAATGAAATGTTATCCCACTAGATGATATCAGCTACACGAATCACAGAACACCCTTTGGCTTGGTTAAAAACCAAAATGTTAGTTAGAGATCCCATATAATTAAACTAAGAAATTTAAATTTAAATTTCAGCACAATAAAGGAAATGTGATAGCTCTTAAGTATTAGAGACATTAACTTCAAAAAGGAGACAAAATTAAGGAATAGGAGAATGTGGACGACTTTCACTCCAGCCAAAGGCTCCTTAACAACTCAGCGGGTACCATTTGCAACCATTTTAACAATCCAAACATCTCACTGGACTCGATCACAACAAACTAGCAACTACTGTGTTTTACATGATTGGTTAAGCTATTCTCGTTGAGAATCCTATCCTCGAGCCTGCACAATATCCATGCATTAAACCCAAAGGTTCTTGCATATGAGCGAACATGTAAGGTATGTAATCATGTAAGCTTTTCAGATGGTTCATGACTACTAGCAGCAAGCTACTAGCTATTACAGTTGAGGTCCATCTGTTATCTGTTTCAAAGATGGGTAGCTCCACCCATGTTCTTGACAGCTAGGGGTCTCAAGTTGGAGTTAAGGAGGAGAGTTGTGCTGGGCCCTCAATGACCAAGATAAAAACATTACACCAAACATGTCCTAAAGTAGGGTAGAATTGATTTTGCTTAATGTAACTAGGATGTGTGATCAAATTAATCTAAATCTTATATTTACATTGAACATGTGTTTTCAATTGGAAAATGCTAGGATTATTTTTCAACAATAAAAGAAAGGGGATAATTAACAGTAAATTTTGAAGCCCTGACTTCCTCATTGAACATGACTAAGAGTAGAAAATTTCACAGCAACTAGAGATAGAGTTAAATTGTAATATATAAGTACCTAAAACCCGCTTTCTAAGTCCCTTCTATACAAAGGAGTATTAGAGATATTACATTGACTAAAGATACAGCCAAATAATAGTATACAAGTGGTTGGCAACCCCATCTTGCATTGTAGGAGTGAATTAAGCCTAAATCCACTTTCTAAGATAAAGTTTCAACTAGCACCCAAAATATCGTAAATTAAATTTCAAATACATTAAACTCTATGCATATTGGGCAAAGTAGAAAAAAAATCGGTCACATCCTTTACCTATAACAAGCAAGTCTATGAATATTTGAAAAATAGATAGCATACCTGTGAGACAAATTCCTGTTCAACACCTCTGCCTGCATCAGCCTCTTGTTCTGCTGCCACTTTCCATCTGTTAATTTCCTCTTCAGCAGCAGCGATGTCCATCATTAGCCCTTCAATCTGTATTACAAATAGGCCAAGTTGGTACCTCGTGACAGATGTATAAACAATCAAATGTCCCTAACAAATTATCCATGGACTAAGGGGTATACACAAACAACAAATTCTACATTCGACAAAAATACCTACATAAGGATAAAAGTGCCAACGATTAAGGAACTAGATCAAATTAAACTTATATAAAACACAGTTAAGCTTACATTTTCATTTGCCACTCTCTCCTTTTCTTCAAGTTCCTCTATCCGATGCATTCTTTGGTCAAGCTCCTTGGCCTGAGCTTCTACATGCTGCTTAAGTAAGCTCAACTCTGCCCTTAATGCAGTCAAGCAATATGCAAAGAAAAAAATTTATGATGTCAACACAACTGGAAATTGCAAACATGCAAGTTTTTCAGTCGACTGTAAGTGGTATCAAGGGGTATGATTTCCCTTCATCAAACTTTAAACTAGATGAATATCAAACAACTGCGATTTAATTCTATTGTTTGTCATATACCTTAATTCACCCACTGTATGCTTCAGCTCAATGATCTCAAGCTGAGATGCCTTAACAACATCCTCCAAAGCACCAGCCTGCACACAATGCGTCCATAAAGAATTCATGAGGGAGTCTTCAAAATGCAAAATGCTAATTTCATTAAAAAGTAGAGAGTAATGGATGCTTAACCAAAGAGTATATTTCATCCTCTTCTTTTTCCGTTCTATCCAACTTCTCATTTGAAGCTGCAACTTTTCCATCTCCGAGAAGCTTACTGAATTTGAAATCTATTCCAGCCTCCCTCAACCCGTTCTCTGCAGCTTGAAAAAGCTCATTCTTTCTAGATGATGGATCGATTGCCATCCTCTTGGACAATGCACTTCGAAGCAAAGAACCAATTTGATCCTTCTCTCTAACCAACCGAGCCACCGTCTCATCTAAACTTTTGATCTCACTATTCTTCTCCTCAAGCACTTCCTTTGCTTTCTGAACAACAATTTTAGTCAACTCAAATATGGACTCCATCCCAGCCAAAGAGGCCCGTATATTCTCCTCAACGTCTGTTTCTTGCGGAACAAACAAAGATTCAGATAGCTCCTCGGTGCCATCATCATCAATTATCTTAACAACACTGCAAATCTGGTTATGAATTTTGGAAACAAGGCTCAACTGGTCGATCAACAAAGGTCTCTGGGATTCTATTCGAGACTCCAAACTACTCAACTTGTCCTCACACTCACCAACAAAGTCCTTCAATTGCAAAGCCTCACTTTGCTCCTTACTCAAATTCTCCGCAACCTCATTCAGCCTCTTGTCCCTAACAGCCAAATCCCTCTCCAAATCCTCAACAATCGAAACCTTCTTCGCAACCTCATCCCTCAAGCCACTAATCGTGGCCTCAAGCTGAGAAACCTCAATGGCAATCTCGTAATTCCGCTGCTCCATTTGCTCCCTGGCCTCGTTCCTAGCCTTAACAGCCGCTTCATTCTGCTTCAAAAGCTCCTCTACAATCTCGTTGGCGCGCTTGATGATGCCGTACGCCACCGCCGCCATTCCCGTGTATTTCTGCGACCTCGGAAGCGGCAGCGCGCTGCCGGCGAAGTTGCTCACCTTCGCCGAGATCTTCTCCATGCCAGTGACGAGCATGTGGCTCGAATTCCCAATCTCCGATCGCAGCGCGTCGCGTTCCTTCGTCGTTTCTTCCAGTTGCTTCTTATTTTCTTCAAGTTGCTTCGCCGTCTCCTCCTTCTCGCGAACGGCGTCGTCTCGCTGGCGGCCAAACTCATCGCGCTTCTTTATAGCCTCGTGAGCCAAAGTCTTCAATCGGTTGAACGAAACCTGTAATTCGGACTTCGTATTTTCCGCGGCAACGCGCGCTTGCCGCTCCCGATCGAGTTCTGCAAGAACCTCCCGGAGTTTCTCGACGGAGACATCACCTGAGGAGGGAGCCTTCGTCTCTACAGGAATCGAATCACCTCCGTCGTCCTCAACGTCACTGAGCACTGCATCGGAATCTAGGTCGCCGGCGCCGGCCATTTAATTTAATAACATATATATGACAGAACTATATATGTGATGATAAACCCTAGAAATTGGAGCGACGCAATATTGATGGAGTAGTAAGTAGAAACTCTAATATAATGTAAAATCGTCTTCAGCTATGCTTATTGTTGCTGATGATTATAGATTGACGAAGAAACACCGCCAGAACGTACCTACCAGTCAGGTTTTGAAGAATTTAGGAATTTCCGATTGAGAATTTGTTTATTTTCTAGAATTTCAAATCAAAATTAAGGGTGCTAAAATAAAACCATTGGTGAATGATTATTTTGTTTTCTACTTGATGATGAATGTGTAAATGGAGAGAATAAATAAATATATTTAAAATGGGAAAAGAAAAGAAGATAACATGGGTGGGAAGGAGGAGTTTTTCGCCACGTTAGGATTGGACGGGCCTGATCTAATGACAATGGCAATGGTGGGCGCGAACCCAGCAGATTGGAGTGATGGTAGGTGAAAAGAACAAAAGGAAAGTTGGTTTCGAATGTGAACACACATAGACTAAATGACTAAATGAAACGTGTATTTGGGGGAGAGTGCTCATTCATTCAGTAAGGAATATTAGGTTTAATAGTAACATTTATTGGTAATATTTTTAATTTTAGTTTTTAATTATGTATAATTTTGATTTGAATTTGTTACAGAATTTTTATCTCTTAATTTTATTAAACATAACAATTGGTGCTGTTACTTACAACACTATATTTATTAAAATTTTTAGATTATGCATATTTTTGAAATATATATATATATAATTAAATTTTGAATAAATAAATATGTGTATACATAATATTAATGAAAACATGCATATATGTTCGTTTCTATTTTATGATAATAGAGATAATAAAATTACTATTATTTTTAATATTATAATTACAAAATTAAATGTAAATAGTTTTATAAAATTAAATATAAATAATTTTGTAGATAACTTTTTAATTAAAAATTATTAAGTTCTAAAAAAATCAAATAAAAAATTAAATTTTAAAAAAAAGTTATTTAAAAAAATAAAAATAATTATATTATTTTAAAAAAATTATTTAAAAGGTAAAATTAGAAAATAAATTTTGATAAAAGAAAATTATTTACATATATAGATATAGATATTATCGATTGATAATATATTTTTTAAAATATTGTATATGTTTAATTAGTACTTATATTCAGTTAATGTTACTTCATAATGTAATATTCCACTGTTTATCTTAAATGAAACAGAATATCTAGGTATGAACACAAAACTATAAACTATAAGTATTACAAAAATACATATATGGATGAAAATAAATATAAAATAGTCAGGTTTAACAATCATGGAATAAAGTATTTTAAAAAACTGAGTAAAAGTTTCAATATTTAAACAAGCATAATATAATAAGTTGATATTTGATGTTATTTTGAATATATATTATCATATATTTACTTATCAAATATGATTAATATAAAAAATAAACGAATATGGCATACAGCATTATTTAATAAAAAAATTATATTACAAAATATATATTCATTTTCATTTCACTATAAATCAAAATATTAAATCTTTTCTTACTAGAAGTTTAGAACTTCAAAATTATCTTTTATATATATATATATATATATACATATATATATATATATATATATATAACTTGATAATAATAAAAAAATAACATTAAATAAATCTAAAATTCTTCTAAGACTATTATCACCTTCTAAATATACTAAACACTCCACATTGTTTGTTTTTTAAGAAAAACAAAATTTTATTGAAAACAAACTTTTAATCAATTTATAAAGTTTAAAGTTCGACTTCAATTTTTTTAATATAAAATTATTAAATATATTAAATAAACCTTGCTCGACCTATGAGGAGAAATGAGAGTTCATTTTTCAATAGAAGACTAAGGGACCAAAAAGTATTGTTCATTTTAAAATTTAAAGTTTTTGTTATGCTTTTGTTTCTAAAAAGTGTATCAGAATATTAGCACAAAATGAGTTTTTAAATTATCCATGACCTGAATTTCTAAGTTATATGAGATTATTGTAGATTTAATGACAACTTAATATGAAGGGGGTAATGCATATGTTGACTAATGACATCTTTGTAATAAGAATTCGTGCATTATAATATTTGTCACAATTTGTTTCTTGTATCTCCAGTGTGTCTTAAGCTTTAGAACATTAATGCTCTGGTCATCTTAGTTCTTCCAAAATGCATCTCATGCTTTCCAATCTGTCTTACAGTACATATTTTCAATGCGAGTCTTGTCAATCAGGAAAACACACTCGTTATACATATGGTACTCAAGTCAATAAAAGTGTTGTATCACATTTTTCCTTAGTTCACTTTGATATTTGGGGTTATAGTCATGTCAATTCTACTTTGGGTTTTTCTTACTTCGTTTCTTTCATTGATGATTTCTTTCGATGTACTTGATTATTCATAATTAAAAATTGTTCTAATGTTTTTTCTATTTTCCAATGTTTCTCGACTAAAATTCAAAATCACTTTGGCACCTTTATTAAAATTTCATGCACTAACAATGCTCGTGAATATATGTCTTTCCAATTTGAGTCTTTTATAAGTTCACAAGGTATCCTCCATCAAACATCTTGCTCTCACACACCCCAATAAAATGGTATCGTTGAAAGAAAGTATCAACACTTGGTTGAAACTGCCCTTACCATTCTTCTTCACCATAGTATTCTTTTTCGCTTTTGGGGAGATGCCATTATAACATGTTATCTTATCAACTGCATGCCTTCCTTCGTCCTTAATAATCAGGTTTCTCATTCTATCTTTGTCCATGACCGTATTCCAAGTAAAGATAAACTTTATGCCAAATCACTTAAATGTATTTTCCATGGTTACTCACACCTTCAAAAAGGCTATCATTGTTTTTTTCCCTCAACTTCAACGTTTATAGTTTATGCTAATGTCACCTTTTTTTTAGACTACCCCTTTTACACTTCCACTATATTGGATGTTAATCTTATAGTCGAACCTTCAGAAGTCTCGCCTATTTTGACTCAGGTGATTGCTTCTTCTCAATGTCCTATGCTTGAATACCACAGACGAGTACAAACTCCTATTGTGACTCACTCTACTAATCCTCCAGCATCATCTCCTACTCCAATTGCCCTTTTGCCCATGCCTCCTACACCTAAACTTCCTCTTGCGGTACAAAAAGATACAAAAAGGTATTTGTTCCTCTCGTAATCCCAACCCTCTCTATGCTTTTATAATTAATTATCATCCTTTTGTCTCCATCATATTTCTCCCATGTTTCTTCTTTGGATTTTGTGTCTATTCTTAAGACTACAGGTAAAAACATTGTTGATCCCAATTGGCAACAGGCAATGGTAGAGGAGATGACAACCTTACATTGCAATGGAACTTGAGACCTTGTTCCTTTACCTCTTGGAGAGCAAACTATTGGTTGTCCTTAGGTTTATGCAATGAAAATTAGACCTAATGGTCATATTGATCGGTTAAAAGCTCGTTTGGTTGCCAAAGGATATACACATATTTTTTGTCTCTATTATGGTGACACCTTTTCTCCTATGGCCAAAATAACTTTTGTTCATCTCTTTCTAGCTATGGCTATTATTCATCATTGGCATATTCATCAACTAGATATTAAAAGTGAATTCTTACATGGTGAGTTACAGTAAGAAGTTTATATGAATCAACCCTTTGATTTTCTTGTTCCGACGATTCTCGTTTTGTTTGTAAGCTTCAATGGTCTCTTTATGGTTTGAAGCAATCTCCTCGGGCTTGGTTTGGTTGTTTTAGTTTTATCTTGATGCAGTTTGACATGACCAAGTGTGAGACTGATCATTCTATCTTTTCCTTTCACTCTGCTTTTGGCAAATGCATTTCCCTTGTTGTTTATGTTGATGACATTGTTATCACAAGCAACAATGAGACTGGGATTCGACAATTCAAAGAGCACCTTTCACAATAATTTCATACTAAAGATCTGGACCGTCTAAAATATCTCTTAAGCAATGAAGTTGCTCAATCTGCCTTTGGATTTGTCATTAATCAACTTAAGGCCATGAACATTCTTACTGAGACTGCTATGTTTTATTCTCATCCTTGTGATACTTCTATGGATCCATATATCAAGCTTATTCCGAGTTAAGGAGAGCCATTGAAAGACCCAAAAAGATATCGTCGCTTGGTAGGCAGACTCAACTATCTCACTATCACCAGACTTGGCATCACTTTTGCGGTTAGTATGGTAAGCCAATTTCTAAAGGCTCTTGTGATAATCATTGGGATGATGTGACATGTATTCTTCGATACATAAAAAAGGCTCCAAGATGAGGATTATTGTATGAAGACAAAGTCAGTTCTAAGCTCACTTATTACTCAAATGCAGATTGGGCAAGATCATCATTATATAGAATATCCACTTTTAGGTATTGTGGTCTTATCGGAGGAAACATTATATCATAGAGAAGCAACAAGCAAAATATAGTTGTTAGATCAAGTGCAGAAGCAAAATATCGTGCTATGACAACAACCAGTTGTGAGCTTACGTTGCTTAGGCAACTACTTCTACAACTAAAAATAAGAGACATCCATGAACCAAGGCTTATTTGTGACAATCAAGTTGCACTTCACATTGCATCAAATTCATTTTTTCATGAAAGAACCAATCACATTGAAATTGATTGTCACTTTGTTACAGAAAAGATGTTCTTTAGAGAAATCACTACTAATTTTGTCATTTGTAACAGGTTCGATACATACGACATATATCCTCCAGCTTTAGAGGGGGGGGGGTTGTGTTAGAATAAAATAAGTTGTTATAAATTTTGAGATAATTAGGCGTATATGTATTATGCTATAAATACATGTTGTCTTATTTGCATTAGACACACAATTCATTCAGAACATATACGATTCTATGCGTGAAAATTTAGGGACTAAAAACATATTTAACATTTATATATATATTATTATTCAAACAAATAAATATATCACGACCACACAAGTATACACTAGTTAACTATTAAATCAATAGTTTAATAAATGGTTATACATGTTTTTAATCCTTAAATTATGACATGAAATTGTATGTCGTTATTGTTCTAAACTTTGAAATTGTTTTGTCCCAAACTTTAAAAACAAATCGATGTAGTCCTCATCACCAAATAACGATAATAATTTGTTGACATGGTAAACTAAGTTCACACGTGTGTGTCCACATCAGCAAATAACACACGTGACAGTGTTGTTTGTCACCTCCACAAATATTTAACGTTGTTTAATGACAATTACATCCATTCATTAGTAAAGTTTTGAAATGAAAATAATTTGAAGTTTGAGACAAAAACAAATTTCAATTTTATATTATATTAGAGTAAATAACTTAAAACATATTTATCTTTTTAAAAAAATTACAAACACTTTATTCTTTAACGTATAAAAGATAAAATGTCTTATTGTTTTTCAAAATAATTATAAATATTTGTTCCAATAAACCTAATATAAATTTAAATATAGTTGAAATTCAAATGAAATAACAATTAAAACAATAAAATTATTATAAAAATTAAAATTGAATTCAATAGAATAAAATAGAATTATATATATATATATATATATATATATATATATATATATATATAAAAGTATTAATAGATATATAAGTATTAATAGATATGTTTATACCCGTTAACTCATAGTAGATATGTTTTTACTAGTTAACTATAAAGTAAATTTTCATATTAATATTATTTTTTTGGTTGAAGTGCAATTAGTTTGGTTATTTATTATAAAAAATATTAAAATAATAGATTTATAATTGTTTTTCACACAACCATAACTACATAATCTTACTTAAAAACATACGGGTAGGTGGCTCCATATGTTTTTAAATATTTATTTTTTATATATTAAAATTTTTGTAATACAAAATAGTAAAATTAAATGAGATGAAATTATAATAAAAAAATCAATAAAATTTAATTGTTATTTAAAATATTATTATTTTTTATCCTCTATCAAAATATAAACAATGTTAAAATTTCAATTTTTGGACATTTTTTATAAAAATAGTTAATGAAAAATGTAGTGATAATATGTATTTATAATGTAGTAGAAACATTTAAATTGTAGATAATATAAAAGGAACAAAAATAAATTAAAAACATACAAAATTGCAAAAAGAAAAAAATAATCTTTTACGTTTTTATTTTTATAAGCAATATATTGGTCACAAATTTTTTCAATTTATATTTTTATATTTTATATGTAAATATGTATAATATTTTTTTAGTCGAGTTAAAGTTATCTAATATTAGGAAATATATTTTTCTTTTTAATTCTAAAAGATTAAAAATAAATGTAATCATTTTTGTGTATATATTCTGATATAGACACACGTGTTAACATTTGGACACACGTGTTAACATTTGGACACACATGATATTATTGTTTGTCATATCAGCAAATTATTAACCTTATTTAGTAACGAAGACTACATGTATTTATTTTTAAAATTTAAAAATCAAATAATATAAAATTTTGAAAAATTAACAAAATCCAATTTTACCATAATTTAAAAACTAAATAGATATTTAACTATATGATAAATAATCAGTTTTCATACCATTAACAGTATGTTTAAAAATATATAACAAAAATGTAATAAAAGTTTAAACTCAATGAAAAGATATGCAAATAATAAACAAATACTATAAAGATAAAAAAAAAAGAAATGAATATTAACTTGAAACAATAAAAAAAACAGCTGAATATATCTGAGTTAAAACATAAAAAAACTATGAAAAAACAAAAGTCAAGAATTTTTCTGAAGTTAAAGCTATTGAAGCACGAATGGCTTTCAAAGATTTGGGAGAGGTCAATTGTGATTCTTAATTCTAATAAGAGGAATTTAGTGTAACATATTCCAGTAAATTGTGATTCTTAATTTCTACATAATTATATTTTTTGTTTTTCATAAAAGATTAAAATATTTTTTTAAAAATATATGATATTTATTAACTTTTATAATTATAATAAATGCTGGTGTTTTGTAGTCCCCACTCACCATCTTCTTCTTCCCTTCTCAGAAAGTAGTTTTATGAAAAGAGGTTTTATTGACTATGGATGTAGTTTAGTAGAAGAGGCATTTCTTGGAAGTTACGTCCTTTGGAAAAGTAGGACCCACGAACATAGCGAATGTGTTTGGACATTCCATATCAGCGCGTAAACATTTACCTGACAGCGCCTACGTTACAGAGAACGATACAGGAAAACACAAAGTAACTTCCACTTCCTCTTCCTGTTCAACAAAGGAATAAATAAATCCAAATACAATTTCTTGTCTCAATTTCCTAATATCGGTGCGAATTGACTAATGCATAATCACTCACTTGTTAACACAATATTCATTTATTTGTTGAATGCAGATGTAAACAAAGTTCATCAACTAAACTGTTAATTAATTGTCCTGAAGTATGATTTTAATTAAGGTTTTTACTTAATTTATTATAAATAGTTGATTAGAGGAAAAGCTTGAAGAGGTGTAGTTGACTTGACCTTGCTAGCTTAGTTTCCTTCTGACAGGAGTTTTCTTAATTCATTGTCCTCTTCCTCCTATTTAGTTCAACAACGAGAAGCTATTCTAGGTTACGTGATTAGCGTGATTCATTAACACATCCACCGTGTTCTTAATTCTATCACAATTCATTTGCAAATCTTTCGTGGAAACAATGCTTCTAGAGGTATGAAAAAAACTCAATAGAGTTTATGTTTCATTGCAGCATTTGTGGAAAAAGATTGATACGTCGGTCGGTTTCGTTTGATTCAGTCTTCATTCTTCCTTAGTTCGCGACTTAGTTTATTTTCTTGGTCTACTCTTTTATATTTGTTTTTCTTTCGACGTGAGATGCACCATTCAGTTTTACCTTCCAAGAATTTGTGGTTTGCATAATTTTATTGCTGATCAGAGTTGTAAGGTTTTGATTTCTTATTCGGTGAACATATATATGTGTGTGTTAGGTTTTTAATTTGACAATTGACATGTTTGCAATTGTAGCTTGAGACTTGGACTGCTTTGGTTGTTTTGTTTCTGCTTGTGTTGATTCTGAAGGAGTCGATCATGGGAGGTAAGAGTTCGAAAGTCTGTGAAAGAAGGCATGCTTCATCGTATGGATCTGCTGGTTCATCGTCTTCATGGGATACCTATGGATACCCTCAGACACCAAACGTTTACCCACAACAAAATAATTATCATACGCCTCTTCATAACCGTGCCCCCCCTCCATTCCACGACTATTCACAGCCAAAAAGGAGGTTGGATAGGAGATACTCCAGAATAGCTGATGATTACAATTCACTTGACGAGGTAGTTTGATTTTCGATTATGCAGTGTTGTTGTGATTTTCCTAGGTATAATTGTGTGTAATATTTGGGCTGTTTCTATCATTGACTCCTGTATTCGGTAAGAAAGGGGGACATGGACCTGGGGGTTTGGGACCTCATGACATTGACCCGAACTAGTCCATGCCTTCCTACCGTTTTCAGAAGATAATGTGAACGGGTTCAATTATAAAGTTTTAAGTCTTAGCAGTCAGCAGAAAGGGAGGGGAAAAAAGACAGGGATCAGAATATTTTTTCTGAAATCGGACTTCAAATTTTTTACTATGATTGTCCACGTTGAAAATCGAAATATTTAATCTCTTAGGTCTCAATAAGGATTCCTTGTAACAAAAAACAAGCGAAATTCCTCGTTTTGTTATGTTACTTTTTCCACAGTAAAGGGTGTTAGAAACATTGTCAGAGCTGGAACACCAAAACGATCTTGTTAGTATTCAAGAAAAAGAGAATGTATATAAAATACTGAATGTTGAAAAACAATCTGGCGATCCTCGCCTAGAATTGTTGCTTTTTTAGTCTATGAGCAAAGCTTTCGTAGACACTTCTACCCCTTTTTTTAATCAGACCTTTATACTTCAGCTGATCTTAAAACTTGGCATGATCTTTAAATTCAAGCCACGGAGTATAGTTAAACAAGTTCATCTGAAATGAAGAGCTATTTAAGAGACTATTGTTTCTCGTTTTTACTGTTGTTCACGATAATGTATGCATGAATCAGCTGAACATCTCATAATTCATTTTATAATATTGAAAGCAGTATCGATGTTATCATTGTCTGATTTGGCCACACATGGTTAAGAGAAAACTTGGTCAGTAGCCAGTACATTTTCTCGGAACAAACTAGTTCAAGAGTGCAACAATGTTGGTTTGAGAAAATATTTGGTTGAAGATTACTGTACCTTGCCTTAGTTACTTTTTTCTTTTCTCGTATTTACATATCCAAAACAAATGATAACACAAATAATAGTTTAGTCAATAATGTTATTCTTATTAGTTGTTTCACTCCCAAACATTACCATTCATACAGTTACAACTCACAGAACGAACACCTTATTCTGTCAAATGATGAAATATTTTCGCACAGGTTACGAGTGCTCTTTCGCACGCTGGACTCGAATCTTCTAACCTCATTGTTGGCATTGATTTTACAAAGAGCAACGAGTGGACAGGTTTTATCTCTTATACATGTATTGACGCTTGGATTTCTTGAGTTGTGGAACTAAATTGGGATAATTCACCTTGAAACCAGGGAAGAGGTCATTCAACCGAAAAAGCTTACATCATATAGGAAGTGACCATAATCCTTATGAACAAGCAATCACGATTATTGGGAAAACTTTAAGTGCTTTTGATGACGATAATTTGATTCCTTGTTTTGGTTTTGGAGACGGTAGGTCCTGATATAAATCACGATGCTTTTCAAATTGCTTTTGTTTCCAAATTGCAAAGTTGATCGTGTTTCTTGTCTTTTTTTCCTGTCAGCATCAACGCATGATCAAGATGTCTTTAGTTTCCATTCAGATGAGAGGTTCTGCAATGGATTTGAAGAAGTTCTGTCAAGATATAGAGATATTGCTCCTCGCCTGCGTCTAGCAGGTGTTGCCTTCACCACTAATATTAGGTAGCATTTTTAATCCGGTTCAGCATAACTCATTGCATTTGTGTCACAGGACCCACTTCATTTGCTCCTATTATTGAGATGGCTATGACTATAGTTGAACAAAGTGGGGGCCAATATCATGTCTTGCTAATAATTGCTGATGGACAGGTATATTTAGTATATATTTCATATAAAAAAGAACATTCATTTATCATATTTAAATATGCACAAGTCATCAAATACTTCATTGGAAGTAATCACGCTGCCTTTGCGAGCATGACTCTTAAGTATTACAGATAAAACAACTAAAAGTTTTAGTAGTCACAACAACAAATTTTGTTTGCTTAGCATTGTATTTGATAACAATAATATCTACCTTACGACACAAATATCTTGCCATTGACAAGGCTGCAGAAGAAAACTGATAATTGTTAGATTAGCAAGATGTGTCTGAATTACATCTGTTCCCTACAATATTTAGACATGATTAATTGTTAGATGGATATTAGAGTTGAACTTCAGAAGGAATTACTGTTGACACACACATCATTGAACGAATAGTTATATCTGGGAGATTAGTAGAAAATTTGTTTTAAAATGTGGATTTAGACTTAACTCAATTTCATAAAAGGTGAGGATCACACCTCATTTATATAGATTATTATTCCTTTTTTAAGATCTAAAAAAGTTAATACTTAAAATTTTGGCACAGGTGACCAGAAGTGTTGACACGCAACATGGCCAGTTAAGTCCACAAGAACAGAAGACAATTGATGCAATTGTAAAAGCAAGGTAAAATTTTGTTGTTTTCTCTAATTAGGAATGGCCACGCTGCATTCTTATACTCTCTTAAAATTGCAGTGAGTATCCACTTTCGATAGTTTTGGTGGGGGTTGGTGATGGACCGTGGGAAATGATGAAGGAGTTTGAAGATAACATTCCAGCCCGAGCATTTGACAATTTTCAGGTTTGGTATAATTCACTTGGCCATAATTACACCTACTATTTTGCCGAAATGTGAATATTTTAGTTTTGGCTGCATGTAGTTTGTGAACTTTACAGAAATAATGTCAAGGAATGTAGATTCAAGAAGAAAAGAGACAGACTTTGCTCTATCAGCTCTGATGGAGATACCTTCCCAATATAAGGCAACTATAGATCATGGCATCCTGGGGTAATAAATGAATATTATATGGAAAAATCTGGTACTCGTAATCTATTGTAAAAGTTTCTATTGGGGTAATAATTGAATTTGCATCATGTTTTCATTGTATGAAATTAGTGCACGGAGGGGACATTCACCGGACAGGGTTCCTCTGCCTCCACCTCATTATGAGAGGACTTCTATCCGCAGCACAACATCTTTTCGTCCAAACAGTTCTCAGCAAAGTGCACCTACGTATTCTGACTTTGATAATGTTAACATGGCATCGTCTTCAGGTGGCTTATATGATAACAAGGTATTTAAACCATTATTTTCCAACATTAGATCTGACTTTCATATAATCCTGAGACAGTTTTGCTTTCATCAGATTTTTCTGTCACGTACAACAAGTTGACAATGATTACATATACACGGTTAATTTTGCAGGTTTGTCCAATTTGTCTGACTAACGGGAAGGATATGGCATTTGGTTGCGGGCATCAGGTAACATGTTCAATTATATGCTAAAACGATTCATCTTGAATGTAATACTATCAATAGGGCATTGTATTAACTTTATGTCCTATTGTTATTTCCTCAAATGGTGCAGACTTGTTGCGAATGTGGAGAAAACCTCGAATTCTGCCCCATATGCCGAAGCACAATCACTACAAGAATAAAGCTTTACTAGTTAACCTTGCATGGGAGAAGGTTAGTTACGTTTAACAGTGTTATTAATCGAGTGCTTAATTGATTTAATAAGTCATAAATTAACATGATGCATCACCGGCAGGGTAACAAAGATAGGAGTAGGGTTGGCCTGGATCACGAATAGAGATTTTTTTTGCCTTGTATTGTACGAAGTGAAATCGAGCAGTAGTGAGTGAGTGTTGCCTCATTGTATATATGATGTTTGTGCGTTTGAAAGGAGTCATATTTTGAAGCCAGCTGCTTGTAAAAAAGTTACTTGGGATCTTTTTATGTATAATATTTTAGTTTTCTTCTTCAGTGTAAACCATGTGAACTGTAGAATAGCCGATTCACCCATGAACTATTAGTTTTTTATTTTGTCTTTATCCTTTCACTCCGTTGTCATTGATGACCAATAGTTTTACCTTGCCACAAAATCACCATAAACAACAATATCCGAAACAATCAATGACTTATTTATTTGTTCTGTTACCTTAGTGCAAGTGTCTGAAGTTTGGTCCCCTTCTTTTTTCTATCAAAGCAAAGCCATGGAGTGCACGCACCACACAGATTAAGTTGCCATTTTCTGAAAGAACGTGCCGTAAGGTTGCATCAAATCACCTACCCGATTATTACTTCTACTTTTGTGTGACCTTCATTCTCTCTTTTGTCTTACTTATGCTCCCATTTCTTTCTTTCTAATTCTTTTAATTGCATTAAATCTGTCAGTCTGTCTATACCTTTTCTCTTATTTCTTTCTCTTCCATCTCAATCAACCCTGAAAAATGAAGTGCAGGGCACTTTTATACACTATGACAATGCAATACCATACTTGGGTGTCACTCAAACTGTTTTCTTTAACGGGAGAAAATAATTGACAGATGGTTTGATTTTACAAGTAACCATTTAAATTAGTAAACAATTGCTTTGCTTTGTCTTTCATGTAATTATAACTAGTATTTTGACTTGTGCAAACGCACAGGATTATTTTTTTAGATGAATGAGTTTTATTTTTTTTAGTAATTGAAAAAAAAAATCAAGAAGTTAAAAATAGATATTAATTTTTAACTAGTGATGATAAATACGATTTAAAATAAGAGACATCAATTTTATAATGTTTATAAGTGAATACAACAATCTTGAACATTCAGAATCATGACAATACTGATTGTAGGAATCATTGTTTTGTCTAATATGAAGTTTCAACTTTTTGAACATTTATGCATGTATTTGTTATGAACATCCACAAAGAACTGTTTACTGAATTTCATTGTTTAGAAGACCATTATAATTTGTACATATAAAACCTATACAACTTTATTAGATTTAAAATGGGATTCAAAAAACAAAAGAATACAATACAATAATTGACAAATAATTGAAATAGTGTAAGATTAATTTGTATATCTTTTATTAAATATTTCTTTATAAATCACATTCGTAGTTGTAGTGATTACATTTTCATCTTCATCCAAAATTAATATTTTCAATCTGTTTTTTGTTTTCACTCCAGAAACTACTACATATAGTTGTCTATGATTGAATATGAGACGTGAAAGATAAAGTGCAACTTTAAAAAGAGTTTGTCTTTAACTTTTGTTTATTGTCATGACAAAGCATAGACATATAAGAAATTGTCTCCTTTGAATGACATGCTAGAATAAGAGGGAGTCAAATTTATTCTTGGTATGAATATTTTATGACCAACATATTTTTCTGTTATTATTGTAGTATAAATAACCCAAAATCATTGACTTGCAATCTTTTACCATAACAAAGATAATTTGTTTGATCAATGTTTCTTAAAAGCATTATAAATTCACCAATTTTTAATTTAATCCTATGATTGGAAATCTCTGAGTATTTATATCATTGAGAAACTCTAGAGTAAATAACTCACCTTGAATATTTTTATCTTCGTCAGTAAGTAGCGTCTAAACTTAAATAAGTTTCTTTTTCACTAGGTATCAAAGATAAAATCAAATCATTTCCTATTCAATAAAGTCATTATAGGACAAAGTATAACCCCTCATAAAAGAAACCACGATTCATGATATTCTTAATAAAGTAGGATAAACAAAGTTCACTAAAGAAAGTAAAGGTGTTTCAGATTCTTGAATTAAAAGATCTGATAGCATATACAAATATTGTCTTCACTATTTTCATTCAAATTAGTATGTCCATCTCCAATTTGTAGAATTCAATCAGCAAATTCTTTTATAGCTCTTGCACTTTGATTTCAAATTGTAGTTTTAATCTCATGTTTTTTGAAAGCTTTAGAATTGTGCAATGTTGCTATAAATCAGAGTAGTTTATTGATGTCTTCACAATATCAAATCTTAACCCCTTTTTGACTAATGGAAAAATTTGTTTGAAAAAACCTCCTAACACCATAATTTTTCCACCAAATGGTCTTTCAACATTATCTTCATTTTTAACTCTCATAATATCTCTCAAGGTTTTATCAAAAGCATCAAAACATAACTTGCTCATCATAAGTGTTTCATCCCATATAATCAATTTTGTTTTCATCAAGATTTTAGCATAAAGACTTTCTTGATTACTGTTGCAAGTTGATTCATCATTGATAGTCATAGGTATGCAAAAAGTAGAATAAGTAGTTTTACCTCTAGGAAGCAATAAAGAACCAATACCACTTGAAGCTACGTTTAGGACAATAATTCTCTTTAACTAATCGCAACTGACAAAATTTCCGTAAAAAAATATTTCATATACCATCGTAACCATATAAGAACAAGAAGCGACCTACTTCTAAATGCATTGATGTCATGGTCTCTTTATACACATATAGTTGCTCATGAGTTAGTATTTAGAATAGAGATTGATGAAGATTATCCATGAGGGACTTTTTGTATATAAAAAGTGATAGGGATATTTTGATAATGAAATAGTTGTTGAGATGTGAAATAATAAACGAGACTAAAAAAGTAAATAAGTTTCAAAATTATAAGTGAAAATAGATTGATAATTTTATTAGGTATTTATCTTGACAGTGTCAAGTGTCATTCTCACTTAATCAAATATCAACATAAAATGCAATCACTTGTTACTATTAAGTGTGTTAAAATTTCTTTTTATAGTTAATTTTTTTGCTTTTGATTATAATTTTAGATTTTTTTAAAATATTATAGATAGATATTAAAATATTCATGATGAAGTTAATTTTGAACAACCAAACTATAAAAAAAACATTGTACTTTATTCAAAAAAAAATATATATTTTAAAGCTTTAAACACTAGATATTATTTCATTAAATTGTGTTTAGCCTTTTGACTATAATCGAGATATTAAAATAACGTTTTTTTTTCAATGTTAAAATATTTTTTAGAACCAAAACTGAAATTATTTAAAATTTCATAGAATAAAAATGAAACTAAATTAGAAAATTTATACGAATAATAAACAAACAATATTTTCCTAAGATTAATAAGATATTTAAATATGTAGTTTATGGATACAAGCAATGTGTCAAATAATTGAAGGCAATAATATAACTAGGGTTAAATATGTTTTTCGTCCCATAAGTATCACATGATTTTGGGTTTAGTCCCTACTTGAAACTTTGATTGCTTTAAGTGCTCATAGTTTTGAAACTATTACTATTAGTTCTTAAAATTGAACGACGTTAACTTTTGTTTTTGGATTTGCAGGTCTATTGCAGGTGATGGCGCATCTGAATGACGGTGATGACGCGAGGGAGGATGTCGCGACTTGTAAGGATTTTGCGCGTTGAAGGTGGCGTTGATGGAGGATGACGTCACTGCAAGGGAGCTTGCGAGATGAAGGCGCGACAACGAAGAGGCTTAGGCGATTTAGGGTTCGTCGCAACACTCGCGATTTGGGATTTCACTTGGACGTGGTTCTCGATTGGTCGGAGCGAACTCGGTGTGCGTCTTCCAGACAGTGCGATTTGCGATTGGGGTTGCTCGCGTTTTCTAAATTTGTCTGAGTTTCAGGTGATTCTGGGAATGACATGGATGACTCGCAAGGAAGAAGAAAGGGCTCCGCTGTTTGGATTCTTTGCAGGTGAAGAATGGAGATGCTTGCTTGATATGCGACTTGTGTTGTTGCGCGATTGGGGTGACGGTGCACGAGAAGCGAAATCATGGTTGTTCTGTTGGAGAAGATGAACAAAGTTCTCAAGCACAAGCAACATGGCAGAGAGTGAAGAGGCAAGTTGGCATAAGACGTGGCCTCGCCGTTTGTCACATCAAACAAAAGTTAACGTCCTTCAATTTTAAGGACTAATAGTAATAGTTTCAAAACTATGAGGACTAAAAGCAATCAAAGTTTTGAGTAAGGACTAAACCCAAAATTGTATGGTACTTAAGGGACGAAAAACATATTTAACCCGTATAACTAAAAATGTTTCATATTAAATAGAAAAAAGAAATTTGAACTAACATATGTTTAAAAGAAACTTGATATTGTCTTTCATGTTAGAGAAGTTCAACTCTTCATATATATTGGACCAGTGTAATGAATTAAAATGAATAATTACGCAATCTACTCAAATTTATTTTCTTTTGCTAATTTATTCTAATACAGTTATATTTTGGTCTAAGAGAATAATTAGGATCGAAATCAATTATGAACATATTTAGTATAGTAAAATTATTATTTCAAGTTTTATTTTGCATAATCTTTTATATAAAATCTAACTTTTTGTTATATTAGTAAAAATTTAATCATCTTAAGATAATTCTTATTTTCAAAAGGATATATATATAATAAATCTAATATATCAAAACGTACTACTTTTTTTTTTTTTACATTAACCCATTCTTCATTGAAATTATTAAAATATTGAGAAAGTAAACTGATCTTCTTGTGCTTTCAAAACCAAATTAAACCCATTTTGTGGACCCTAACAGGTTGAGTGAATGGAGAGACAATGGTGTTAGGAAAACAATAACTCCACATAAAAGCACATTTATTATTTTCAAATGGACCAATTCAAAGTAATTTGGTAAATGATCGGAGTGAAACTACTTTATTTAAATGGGTTAAGACAAAAAGTTATTGGAATGATATTAGAAAAAAAAATCAAATCAAATTCATAATTATCTAAATTTATATTAATTTAATTTTATTTAAGTGAATTTATTTTAAATAGAAATTTATATTTTTTTTAATTTTAAATTCAGTCTATTTGATTTGATTGAATATTGAAAACAAGATTTTAATCCCACAAAATATTGATAAAATTTGAATAAATTAACTAATTTAATACAATATAGCTAATCTGTCTCTAATATCATAAAAGCATAATTATAAATATGTACTCATTATTAAACATTATTATCTCTAAAAGTAAATAAAAGAGGTTTGTTTTACAATATATTAATAATTATAAAACAAAAGAATGATAAAATAAATTGGAACAAAATAATAAAAATTTAAATAATTAATTTTTTAGTAATTAGAAAACAAAAACATGATAAATAAATTGAAACAAAATAATGCAAATTTAAATAACTATAATTTTTTTAAACATTTTTTAAAATTATAAAACAAAAGAGTAATAAATAAATCGAAACAAAATAATAAAAAATTAAAAAATTAAATTTATTAAAATAAAGAAAACTTGAGTGCTTTAAATAATTTAAAATAAAAATATATTAATTTATAATGATTACGAAAAATTGGATAAAATTACATAAGTGAATGGAAATACTAAGTTGTAAAATGTTAAATTAAATTAAAACTAAGAACTATAAATAGATGAAGATGGTTATGAGTATTTGAAACTCAATGATGAGAAAAAATTGAATGCATATATAACTAACTTTGGAAATGCTAACCAAAAAGTGAATGTAATATTAAATAAAAAAACAAATGAATTATATGCCAATTATAGAATGATTGAAATATATTAAAGATGATAGGAAAGAAATGAATATAAAAGTGATGTATGAGTTAATATGTGAGTGAATATAATAAAATTAAAATTATGGATGCAATTGTGAAATAAAAGGCAAGCAAATACAAATAAAAGGAAGTACTAAGTTTAAATAAAATGGCTAAACAAGTAGTTAAAAAAATTAGATTGAGGGCATAAATGAATAAAACAATTTAGATAATATAAAACTAGAAGATTGAATAGAAAATGTGAAATATATTAACAAGAGAACTAAGTGAGAATGTGCAGAGACACCTTGTTACTTGACTCAAACTAACAATACACCTCTAAATTATATTGAAGAAAAAAATAAGGAAAAAAGAAGTGAGGTTTTTTTTGTCCGATACACTGTTTTTTTCTTCTAAGTCTTTATATATATATATAAGAGATTGGTTAGGAGTATTATTATAAAAACAAATTTTGAAATTAATTACAATGAAATAAAATTAATTGGAATAATTATGTTTTTTTCTAATTTGAATAATCCACAAAATATATTACATTTAATTCTTGAACTTTTATTGGTCTTTAGCTAAATTGGTTTCTAGTAATTAAGTTGATTGATTTACAATTTTCATAAACTAAATCAAGGACGAGTCAAATATGTCTTAGATAAAGTCAAACTGAATTAACATGAGTTCAAATTGATTTGAGTAAACTTAGGTTTTACTTAATCCAACATGAGACAAGCTCACATTCACTTATTTGGGACAAGTTCACGTTCATCCTATGTTAGGACATATCACAACAATTAAGTTAGGATAGACTTAGGTTAACCAAAACTTATGTTTTTTTTATATGTAAATTGAACATGTACTATATGGCGATACAAATCTATAGAGCGGTTGGCCACAGCTACAATCATGAGAAGGGACGATCGACATGAATGAGCTATGGTCAACATTGTCAAGGTACCATCCGTAGTTGATCGCATGACCATGGAAATGGGAGACAAAGAGGTTGGACAACCCCCAACAATAGGAACACTTAAACATTGTTCCTAATCAAGATTACTGGTAAGAATTACTTAGTTGGAAATGGGTCATCATTGGGCCGTAATTAGGATTTCACTAATTACAAATTCATCTCGAAACCTATAAATAAAGGTCGAAGGTGAGAAAGTAAGTTATTGCATTTATTAAGAGTTTTAAGATTGTACTGTGACCTTGATCAGATTAATTACTTGAATAGAGAAAGATTGAAACAAAGAGTGAAAAGTGTTTAGAACGATCTAAATTAACTTAAAAGAAAATATGAAAAAGTATTTATGAAAATTATCGATCCTATATCCGAATCAGAACACGCATCAAAATTTATAACAAAATGATCACATTAGTTAAATAGAAAAAGAAAAAATAGTTTTTATGTAGAATAAGGATTATCACAACAACACAAATAATTATAAATACAGACTAGATAAAATTGTAAAAACTTGTACATCGAAAAATAGTTATGAAGATTTCTTATATCGTATTGTAATTATTGCAGTGACCTCTTTCACTATAACTTATCAAGATGTAAACGTAATGCTTTTAAAATTTAGAGTATATATAGTAACAATCGGTTACATTGCACATTTTGGTAAAATGCACAAGACAATTGTTACAAAAAATTATATAATTAGTATTACGAGACAAAAAAAAATTATTTAATAAATTTAGATATAATTAAGTTTAATTCTTTATTTTTTTAAAATGCTATTTTTTTTTATCTTTGAGTTTAACCATCATTTTTCGGAGAGTAATTTAAGAAAACTTGTCTTTTTAGTAACTTAGTTCTTATTTTTAAGTTTATTATAATTCATTTTGGTTATTATATACTTTATCAATTGAATTTTAATTAATTTATTAATTTGGTCATTTATCATAAATTGATATTAAAATTTCTTTTATAGACGAATTTTAGCTTTTTTCTTTTATTTTTTTCTAACGTTTCTTCCCTTTCTCCCATTTCTCATCACATTTTTTCACTTTCCTCACATCACTTTCCCTCCAAATCTTGATAAACTCTAGCTTGTTTTTTTATCTTCATAAATTTAAAACTCTAACTTTTTCAAAATGTCTTCTTTAAACATAATTTGTTTAGAATGTTTCTTTTGATTTTGTTATTTAAGGAGTCCTAAAATGTTATGGGTACGTAATAGCTTGATAACTTTGTTTAGGTGTCTGAATTTTGGTTTTGTAGAAACTTAGAACTGGTGAGAAATGAAGGGAAAAGGAAAAAGGTAGAACGCGAAAGAAAAAAAACACTATAAGATCCTAAAATAAAAAATGATCTAAATTTTAACATTTAGTACTCCTAGTCTATCTCAACACTAAATAAATCAAATTAGTTTTATTTAATAAATATTAAAAGTCAATTAATAAAAAATATATAACAGTAAAATTATTAATGATCCTAACAAAAGATATTGCATAAAAAATATTAAATAACCTTAAGTATTAAATGATAAGTTAGTATCACTCCAAAAAAAAAAGTGGCTTAAACTTTAAAACTCAATTTTGCCACATCACTGATCCCGCATCATGTATATATTGGGTTGAACAAACGTGCAGAGAATCTATAGTGCAGAATATGATGCGCATGTCATAGGCAAACAAGACTAAAAATAGTTACAACAAAATGGAATTGCTCATTAAGATTCTCTCTGCGCTAATAATATTGTTCTCCGGAGGACCCATACTTGAAGTTAGGCCCGTGGCAGTGACGGCTCTCCCACTCCGCACGGATTCTCGATGGATCGTGGGCCAAGATGGCCGAAGGGTAAAGCTGGCCTGTGTGAATTGGGTTTCCCACGTGGAAGCTGTGGTGGCAGAAGGGCTCAGCAAAAAGCCCGTCGATGACATTTCCAAGGGAATAAAGTCCATGGGCTTCAACTGTGTCAGGCTCACTTGGCCCATAGTTTTGGTGACAAACGACTCTCTGGCTTCTCTCACCGTTAGACGCTCCTTTCAGAACCTCGGCCTCCTTGAATCCATCGCCGGTGTCCAAACCAACAACCCTTCCATCATTGACCTTCCGCTCATCCAAGCTTTTCAGGTAAAATTTTTCAATTTTTTATTATTCCATTATTTTTTCTTAACGTAACCACTTTCTTCACTATTCTGGATCGCTCACAGTCCTTATCTTGTTGGCTGTCGATCTTATCAGAAATTTTGTCTCGGCGCTTATTTGGTGGCGATTGACTGATGAAGGTTTTTTGATAATTAAGTAGCTACCTCCAACTAACTTCCTTAGTAATTGCCTTCTACGTTGCGACAGATTCTTCAATACAATATGCTTTTTGTTTTACTTTTTACGTCAAATTTGTCTGATGTAGATTTTTCGTATATTTATTTCGTAAGGAAATCAATTCTATTTAATTTTTATCAAAATTTCCTCTTACAAAAAAAAAATCATTCAAACATATAGTTGAGTAATTTTGTTAACCTTATAATAATGATAATAATATAATTTTTTACTATCTTGTTGGTTTCTTAGTTGAGTGTAGAAATCGCTGTCTCAACAAACTTGCGAATTGTAAGAGTTACTTGAAGTTTGCGTTGAGTGTGGAGAACATATGTTTTTGTTTTCTTATGATTGTAGGCAGTGGTGAAAAGTCTTGGAGATAACGATGTGATGGTGATATTGGACAACCACGTAACGCAACCAGGGTGGTGTTGCAGTAATTCTGACGGGAATGGGTTTTTCGGTGACAAATTTTTTGACCCAAATTTGTGGTTATCGGGTCTGACCAAGATGGCCACACTTTTCAATGGGGTCAGTAATGTGGTGGGTATGAGCTTGAGGAACGAGCTGCGAGGACCCAAACAGAATGTGGACGATTGGTACAAGTAAGTGAACCT